AGGGAGGGAGAGGATATTTGGTCCTTTCCTATAGGGCTTTCCCAATGTGCCCAAGATTTACTTATTTTAGTTTGGAGTCCAAAAGGTTTTTCTACTTACGATTCATGACAGTTAGCTAGCAACATGATAGCTTCATTTTTTTTCTTGCAGGCTTACAAATAAAGTGCATGAAACATTGTGTTACTGCAAATTGACAAAATTTTTGGGCCTTGTAATTTTTATAATTAATCTTTTTTAATAACTTGTGGGATGATATTTAGTCATTTCCCGATGCGTCCAAGATTTACTTTTCAGTGGAGTTTGAAATGTTTTCCCACTTATTCTGATCGGCTGCTAGATAGAGCTTCACTTTTTTGCTTCTGCAGGCGTAAAAAAATACAGTATTGTGTTACTGCAAATGCTTGGACTAAATCAGTGGGTCTATTAATTTCATGATGAAAATTTTTTTATAACTTGACACTTTTGCTAGGATATTAAGTTACTTCCTACGGCTTTTCCAACATGCCGAAGATATAATTTTTCGAAAGAGTTCCAATGGTTTTCTCACTTATTCTGTATGGCAGTCATCTAGCTACATATGAGTTTCACTATTTGTTTTTTTTTAGCTGACAAGTAAAGTGCACTTTTCATTAAGTTAACGCAAATTCGCAAAACCATTGTGCCTTTTGGTTCATTGTAGAGAAATTCTGTCATGACTATGAATATAATAACATTGTTTCTCTTATTATTAGTCTATAACATAGTTCTTGAGCATCAAATTGCTATGACAAGATGCATTGTAATAAAATTATATCCTGAAATGAAGTGCAGAATATAATCCAGATGTTGGAGCAGTTGAGGAAAGTTACTTCTACAGTACATATACTTCTACAGATATACTTCTACAGTATATCATGAAGTGGGTCCAAGCTTAATGACAGTAACCTTTTCCAGGGACAGCTGCTAATCAAAATTACCATCAATATCAACCCTATTTCCCGTTCACTTATACTTGATGTTACAGTCAAACTCTGTTAAGATGCCCCAAATAATTCACCACCCTTGGAAACTACCAATTTATTTGTACTGTATAATCAAATCTTCCCCTGTGATGAAAGCATTGTAAACCTCCAGGAATGATTTTTTATGGTCAAACATTTTTGAAATGTCGCAGTCACGTGACCAAGCTTACAAAATAAGACCTTCCTTCACATGCATTGTTGAAGGGACATTTTCAGAAGAAAAGGGCAACGTGTACGTTTCTGGAAATATCATCAGGATTCGTGGACCATTATATGTAAGGAGTTTCTTCCAGGATTTCGAGAAAAATTCAATATTCAATAAATTGTCTCAACGGTAACATCTAGCTTTCCGGATAAACTTTTATTTTTCAATATCTGCTCTCTAGCTGTCAAAATATTGCTCATTCTTGAATCAAGCACCGTCTCGATACAAATATTTTGAGCTGGATTGTACAGTAAATCTTCAAAGTTTTGTTCAATTGCTCAACAACAACAAAAAGCATTGACAGTGACTTATTGCGCGTTGTCTTGGTTCGGGGCTTTTGGGCGTTATTTTTCTTGTTGTCTTTGGTTCTTTTGATTGATTAACGACTTCTGTTGCACGGAATGCGTCTGCTAAATTTTTTCATACCAGCATGGAAAGAGCAAAACTGTTCACTTCTCTAAATTTTCAATTGTGGAAAAGCGCTTGATGAACAGGCGTTCAATTATTTTTCCTTATTGTTGCCCTATTTCTTACTCATACTTTCTTATTGAAATTATTTCCATCTGCTGACCAAGAAGTTTTCGGCGTTTATCGTAGCTCGAGACCCGGAAGTGGAGGCATTGCATGACTTGGCTTGGGAACCAAGTTCATTATCGTTGAATACGGTCTTTCTTATTGAAATTATTTCCATCTGCTGACCAAGAAGTTTTCGGCGTTTATCGTAGCTCGAGACCCGGAAGTGGAGGCATTGCATGACTTGGCTTGGGAACCAAGTTCATTATCGTTGAATACGGCATGTTGAAATTTCTAAATGAGATCCTCGATTATGAAATACTCTATGGCGGACGCGGAACAACCCAATTGCCGCGATTTCGTTTCAAATTCTCCTTCAACATTATAGAAATCCATGTGCAATGCTGTGAATGTGAATATGATCGTCAGAAAAGACGTTTCCTCCGGATTATACGTATGTTTAGATGCAAAACATATCTGTGAAACTATGTGTAGTGCATGAATATTTCATCGGAAGATTTCAACTTCTTTGTTCAAAATTAGATTCAGATTTTAGATTTGGATTAAATTTATATTTTAGATTTGGATTGAATTTATATTTTAGATTTGGATTAAATTTATATTTTAGATTTGGATTACATTTATATTTTAGATTTTGATTAAATTTATATTTTAGTTTTGGATTAAATTTATATTTTAGATTTGGATTGAATTTATATTTTAGATTTGAATTAAATTAATATTTTAGATTTGGATTACATTTATATTTTAGATTTTGATTAAATTTATATTTTAGTTTTGGATTAAATTTATATTTAGATTTGGATTACATTTATATTTTAGATTTGGATTACATTTATATTTTAGATTTGGATTACATTTATATTGTAGATTTGGATTGCATTTATATTTTAGATTTGGATTAAATTTATATTTTAGATTTGGATTAAATTTATATTTAGATTTAGACCTTATTATTTGCTTCAATTTAAAGTCCATAAGAGAATAAAATCAAACCTGCTAAATTTTAAGTTGACACCCTTCAATTCAATCAGATTTAATCTACTTACGAACAAAAAACTGTACGAAATGTGTACATGAAGCAGATTAGCGTGAAAAATGTAAGAACAAAAGAAGTGGAAAAATATGATTGCATGAGAAGAGAATATAAGTTCAGATCGTGGACTTTTGAAAAATATTTTGACAGATGATTCCGGGAATTATTTTTTGCCAATGAAGATGTTGGACATTGTCCGTCATACCTTGTCAAATGATTACTAACTTTTCCAATTTTCTCATTTTTGGTAAAATGTGATCGCTTTGGAAGAATCAAGTCAACTGTCAGCCGGGGCAATCCAGATCAATATTATTTTTCGAATCTAAAAATAAATTTGGAGAATCGCTGCAGAGACACGTTGCAAATTTCCTTTGAAACATTCCTTCGAAAAAAAAGGGGGCAATTTAGATGCGTAAGCTGGGCTGTAGAGAAATTCAACCGCGTCCCGAACGCGAAAAACTCGCAGTCCAGGAAAAGCTGCTCCCGGAAAACACGATCCGTTCGGGAGTCCACCGCCGCCGCCGCCACCACCGCAACGATCGCCGCCGTCACAGGACGCGGGGCGGCCGCCCCGGTCCAACGCTGAGCCCGTTTTTCCCTTCGTTCCGCGGACGATTGTTGAACAATCGCGGGGATATAACACATGGAGCTCGAAGCACGCTCGCGACCTGTGGGGGCAACGCGAAAGGCGGCGGGCGTGAGAGCCAAAAAGGACAGAGCGCCCCAGGCAAGGAGGAGAAGGAAAAAACGCGGCAAGGGAAGAAGAGAAAAGAGATACAGGTGGAGAGAAATAGAATGAGACAGAGGAGAAAAAAAGAAATATATCTGACTTGGTCTTGGTCTCTTCCTCTTGCCCCATCTCTCTCGAACACTGCAGCTTATTAGACATCCAACGGACAGAAACACATGTGCCAGCTACACAAGAACAGTCATATAGTTGACATTCTTGGATGGTCCTGCTCGAAAGGATATTGAATGGGGGTACTAAGGAGAGGCTTCTGATTCTATCATTAGTCCAAGTACTAAATTATTTTTGGCATACTTTTTTTTAGATGGACAAACAGAACTAGCTGATACATTTTCAGAACAAGGGCTTATTTCAACCAGTGCTAAGCAGGCATTAATTTAGTAGAATTTCAGAGTTTCCTTGGGATGAGGTTGACTCACCAAGGAGACTGGAGCTGTTAAAAGAAGTGGATACTGTGGATGGAAATGGATAAATGTTGTCAATTGATAAATTGAATGGATGTCACTAGACTTACTACATGAGCAATCATAGCACATAAATCTGTTTTTATTCCAACTTCAAATTCCGATACCTCAACTAACTACTTTGTTTGTATGATCAATAATCTGATGCAGCTCTTGTTCAAAATATCCTTAACTCATTATTATCAAAAATGCAGACTTTAACTTCAAATAGCTCATCCAAGTAATACTGTTGTGAGTGCAGTTAGATTTCTTGTAGTCAAAATAAAAAATTCAAAAAACCTCTTGGAGTAAATTTTCTAGTAAATCCTGGCCAATCCAATAGAGAACAATCAATGCATTGTAAACCTCTCAAAGCCAAAACTGTTGTCTAGAATCTCCATTTCTTAAAATCCCCATTGCCCTTGTGTGGGGTGCATAATTTTTCAACACAGACCTTATCCAGAACTTGTGCAAATTTTCCTCTGGATACTTTCCACATGGGATTTGACAACTTCCAGCAGGTAAGACATCCAAGGATGAACTATTTTGATAATTTTACCAGAAAATCATCTTGATTGATTTACCTGCACAAATTGGGACATACTATTTCCAAAAACTCCAAAATGATGCAAGTCAAATTAATTTTGGAGCTTTTTGAATGAATGAATGAATGAACAGAACACTATATTTGCCGCTTGTCAGCATTCACAAGGCACAACCAAGACTCCCACATCCAAACCCCTTTCAAGAGAGACATTCAAGGGTTAGATTGAGAAAGTTGGTTGAATCCCATGCAAACAAATATGGAATAGGAAATACACGTAACAGTAGATGGGGCCCAAACGTTGCAGCACTCTTATTTTAAAAAGACCAAGAAGTAATCCAGTACTGTACTGAACGATGAATTGGGATGGTAAAGCGTAAAGCCCGCACCTCCAACTAAGATTTTGTTTTTCTTCGCCATGAGAGACTATCAGCCGGATCTTCCGCAGTTTAAAAAAAATAAATAAATAAAAAGAAGGAAAAAAGCAAAATGAGCGAAACGCCTGAAGCGACGTGTGCGTCCTTTTCGCCCAGCAAGATGCAAATCATCCTTATTGATCAACGCCGTCTTCCGCTCCACAATGGCTCGTGTGACGTGTGCGTGAGCACCATCACCAACCAGAGAGGCTGGCAGCAGGTTCGGGACAGGGAACAACTCGTCACTGTCTCCATGCCCACCTCTGTCCGTGCGTCCCACAGTTCTCCCCCCCCCCCCCCCCCACCGAAGCTTTCCCTCCCACACTCTATTCTCTGTCTTTCGTTCTCTCTCTATTTCTCTCTTCCTCTTTCAACCGCCTCTCTTTCGCCCGGTCTCGTCATCGGCGCTTCCCTTTCTCCGCCGTTCCTCCTGCTCTTTCTCCGATTGATCCCCCGCTTCCGCCCGCGGCGGTGAAAGCGAAAGTTTTTTCACGACCAGAATACTGTACAGTAAACGCGTGACGAGGCAAGGTGAACTTGTGCGTGGAATACTCCGTCTGTCGAGGGACTCTCGTTTTCGTCCGGCTTCCGGGCATCGCTTTGGCTCACTTATGCTTCGTGGGCCGTGCGCCGCGGTACACAGCGAACACATCGTCGTCAGAGACTCAGAAAACGATATAAAAAGTTGCATAATAAAATATCAGCGACGAAAACTCGCTGCATGATTTTTTTTCATCAAACAATTTTTCAACCGAAGAGGCAAACATATGAAGAAATTTTAATGTAAACTACCGGAACTTTTGTAAAATTGATTAAGACGTTGTTAGATGAATTTTTGACATTTCCAGCCCCAAAAAAACTCGAAAAGGTTAGCGCTCAAAACGGAATGACCCTAATTTATAAAAACCAAAGCTGCATTGATAACAACCTGCCTATGATTACAGTATGTCCTACTTACAGTGCTTAAGCATCCCATGCATATTTAAAGTTTCCATCTGTATTAAATACAGTCAATTCCCACCTAATGGACCTACCTACCTTCGGAGGCAAAAACCACCTCTGGAGGCAATTTTTCCTCCCACCTAACAGACAAAATCCGCCTAATGGACTTCCTTTGGCTTAAAATTATTGATAAAAAGTAAAATGTTTAATTTTTTAGTCATTGAATTTGCATAACAGACTTTTCACATAACAGACTAGTCTGCTGCACAAAATAAGTCTTTTTTGCAGGGGTCAACTGAATCGATTACAAAGGTCCCAGCAGAAAATGCTATAGAAATAATGCAATTCTTTATCTCTAAAAAATGTTCCATGTTAAATGCAACAAACTGATTTTTTCCACAAATTCAATTGCAAATTATGAAATTTCCTAATTTTGTTCCAATATTTTGCGCAACCGTTGGAACAAAATGAACATGTTTATTGCAAGAATCACATTCAAAGAAAAAAATGGAAGTATTCTATAAATGGCTCTGCTGACACTGCTTCCGTAAGATAATTTTATAATCGTCCCTTGATAAGCTATTTCACTTCGGCTACGATTCTGCGAAATTCTGCATACTAATTTGATTTCGCAAAAATTGGGGATGAATTAAAAGAATGTGCATGCATTTTTAAAATCCCACTTTTTGAAGATAACGTTGGTCCAACGCATATCGCTTTAATGCAGATTTGTTTTTCTCTCTAGAAGATGACCATTGCAATATTTCACCTGTACTTTAACCTGAGCTTCAACTTCAGAAGAAAAAAAAACTTGGTGAACTCCAGAAAATCGAGGAGAAAAAGTGACACACTTTCTGGCAAAGCTTGCTGTACTAGCAAGGAATTCTGTGAAACTATGAACGGTACATTACATTGATTAAAAATGAGTATTGTGCCTCTGAAACATAAAATTGTATTTTATTTCAAGTAATTGAACCAATTTTCTGAAATTGAGAAAGACCATTTCTAGAGAAAATATTGCCTAGGAAAATGTATCTGAAATTCGCTTCGGGCCTCATATTAATTGCAGGGAATTTTTTTCACTGGAAAAATTGGATGATGACGTGGCCTTCATGCCATGAACATGCTTCGCTTTGCATTTGTTCTGATAACCTATACGAATTATGGCGTGATTCTAAAAGAAGCACATGTTATAGGCGAGATATGGTGGGCAAATGCTTGATGAACATTTCTTATTGAAGACTTGCCAAATATACCGAAACTAAGAGATAGGATAATGATAATCTTGTTGCACTTACCGTACATACTTCGCACGATTCAGTATTTTTGTGCTAGAAAAATCAAGGCTGCATAGAAAGAGTCAGATATTTTTTTGACCCACAGCAATCAAGTTGAAAAATGAAGGAAGCTATTAATGCGAATGACGCGTGTATATTTGAATAACGGAGACAGCCAATTTCATCCAACCAAACATAAATATCTTTTTCGGTCGCAATACAGCAAAATTTATGATTCTTTGTATACACCCACCATTTATATTGCATGAAAGATTGCTCTCACCGGAAAGCATAAAATCCGGACGAGGAAAGCATAAAACTCCTCTTTGTCCGCTTTATTTTTTGCGCGCTGTTGTAACCAATGCAATTTCGGGTTTTACACATTGCCAAATGGTTTTCTGTGAAAGGTCGGTTCACGGAATAACCAGCACGTAATTCAATCAAGTGGAACCTCAGGTTGGTCAGGTTAGGTTAGGCTCAATCAACTTTCTTTTCCTCGTGGAATTTTTTTTTTTCACGAGAGGTTTTCCTTAAAAACTGAAAGTAGTCTCTTTCGAAAATGATCCCCGATTGATTAAATCTTTCGGGATTATTTCACAAGAAGGCTCACCAAGATACTGCGGTCAACCACTTGTTATTTCGAACCATGCATCATATATTCATTTTTTTGTGTGGCCAACTTCCTGTTCCTGGATTCAGATAGAAGTTCAGTGCTGATTTATTCATGTGCCAACCAAGTCGTTATTATTACTCATTTTTTCCATATTTTTACTTTCGGGATTCATGAATGTCGCATTTAATTTCTGGAGTCGAAGTTAAAGCTGAGGTTTATTGCGACGATTTTTTGATTGTAGGTTTCAAATGATTTCGCTTCTTACTTCTTTACAGTCGACACGATTTTTTATAATTTTAGATGCAGAAGGTACACTATTTAAGCAATACAATTGTTTGATTCTTTTCGTCTTGAGACCTTGAAAACCAAATTTTTTCTTTGTTCTGCACTTTTTGAAGACCACCTTCAATTTGTTGCAATTCATCACCTATTACGTTGATAATGAAGATTACAAATGTCGATTGCAGTTTTTTATTTTGGGTAACACGTGGTATGTTCAATACTTTAACCTTTTGCCGTCTTTCCTTTGTGTTGAACGATACATGGTACAAATTTGGCCAAAAAAATGCGACCGCGTGCGTTTCAGAAAATGTCAAGGTTTGCCTTTTCATGGCTAGGAAATCTCACTCGAAGGATTGGCTTAATTTATTTGTTGCAGCTTTGATAATGATTTGAGCATGAATTAAATCTACACTTCTACAGATACTGTAGTACAGACACACCAGTGTAATCTTAAAAATAGGGTGCGAATTTGACGAATTAGAGATTAAATTATAATTTTAAGATGACGATTGCTAGAAAATCCATTACTATAAGGGGAGAATACATTAAAAAAAGAAATATGTTTGGTTGATGAGGAGCTCCTTTTCGCTATGGTGCCTAATTCATTTATTCATTCGAATTTCGTTGATCAGCCGGAACAATTGAGGGATACTTATTGAATTGAATTTACTATCGAGAAGTTTTCTGTTATATATTTTACAGTACAGTTTATTTGATGAGATTGAACCGAAGGCGACTAGAAGAAATTTATTTTCGCAAAACAGTTGAGCAATCCAATCAAAAGACAAACTGATAAAATAAGGACGGTGAAAAGACTTCTGCCACATTTTTGTTGATGTTAAAAAGCAAAAAAGTTTGTCTTTGCGGTGCTTCTCAGACAAAGATCCAGGCCTGGCGAAATGCCAAAAAGCAATATGAAATACTGAGACATTAATGATTTCAAGATAAAAAAAAAGAAAGAAAAGCACCCAGTAAATTATAGGTCCTCCAAAGACAAGTGATCAATCAGAAGCACACAATAGAGGATATACCTTCAAAGAGAAAATAAATGCATAAAATTTCATCAGCTTCATCACATTCAAATTTATCTTATTCTTAGAATAAATTAATAAGCAAATTACAAAATATTTCTGCAGAAATTTCGAAAATATTTGTTACAATCAGAACAATGACATATCTTCCACACAAATACCGTATTATTTTCAAGATTCTCTTACTGAAGCAATCTGTGCTTTTTAATATCAGTACTTTTTTTGCTATGTTGATACATTTATATAGACTATGTTGATACATTTATATAGATGCAGAATAGTTCCCATAAAATAAAGAAATACAATTTGTGAGCAACATCCGACAAATCTGTTAATTGTGGAGAAAATGATAGATGAACCTCTGGAAAATTATTACATTGTGATCAATCTCAAGCCTTGCTTGTTTTGCCCTTTGCAATAGTGGCTGGATTTATTGGCAGGCTAGCACAATTTAGTTTGACCAAAGGTCACCAAAACAGTGAAGTGGCCTTAGACCTTTGGACAAACCAAATGAGAAAAAAATCAGCAAAATCCAAAAGACTGAAAATTCAGCAAGTGACAGAAAACTTGCAAAAAGTCAACTTTGGAATATTTTTTATTCACCAATTACTGCATTAAAAAATAACAATTCGCATATTTTTGGATTCAGACTATGCACTATTCATCAGCTGAATTTTTTTCAATTTGAGTCTAAATCTTAAAATTCTCTTCATTTTTTAAAGTCTTATAAGTAAGAAAATGTCCCACAAAAAATCCTGCATACGCTGCAGCAGATTCATAAATTATCTTAACCACAAAAATGCATTGCATAATCTCCAAGGTTTTTCTAACAAGACCTTTGAAAAAATGTCATTACAATGCAATTTGTTGTACAGGTGGTACCTTGCAATTCAACCATCCCCCAATATAATTCAACAGTCAAATTTGCAGGGAGGTTGAATTGCAATTCAACCCTTGCCCTGCAATTTGACCTCCTTTTTCCATTATTTTTGCGCTTTTGTACTTATATTTTTAAATTTCACAGGGTGTCTCACAATTTGATCAATTTGCAATTTTACCCTAGTTTGGCCATGGATTAGGGTCAAATTGCAAGACACTGTCAAATTTAAAAATATAAATTTGACAATATATAGTCTTGCAATTAGACCAATTTGCAATTTTACCCTAGTTTGGTGATGGATTAGGGTCAAATTGCAATGTACCACCTGTACAGAGAATTTCTTCCAACTCACACTCCCATCAGTTCTCTCATCCCACAAAGCAGAAACTTGATGGTCCCCCACAAAGCGAATGATAGCCGAACTTGCGCATGCCTCAGCTGGCGTCGCTGGACGTTACAGCACTGCTGCGGTGCGGAAAGAGCGAAACCTGTTGAATCATCCGGTAATTGGGCAGGGGAAGAAAAAAGAGAACGAAAGATAGAAAGTAAGAAAGAGAAAATAGAGTACTGTATTCGTATACGTGAGAGAAAGAAAGAGAGGGAGAGTATATAAGTGCATGTCTGTGTATGCGTGTGTGTGTGTTTGCGTGGGAAACGAAGAGAGTGAGAGAGAAAGAGAGAGGAGAAGGGAAAAAAATATGGTATGCATAGAAAATAAAAATAAAAAGTGAGGAGAGGAAATGAGAGGGGCTCGGCAACGCCATTGTCAAGTCCCACTTCCTGACTTGTGTGCGGTGGAAAGACAGGAAAAGGATTCTCGACCCTTGCGTTTCCTATTTCCCCGTTTCGCAACGGGCTGCTTATTGCTTGCTTGCTTGCTTGTGTGTCTTTCTTTTTCTTCTCTTTCTCTTTTTTATCGTTGTTGTTTTTTTGTTTTGTTTTTTGTTACTGTCAATTTCGCTTCACCAAGCTATGCTGAGCAGTCTGCGCTGGAGAAAGAGAGGGAAAGATGTGTAATAAACTGAAATAAAAATGCGTTGCGCTGGACTTTTCATTTCCTAGTTACTGCACGTTGCGTTGCTGCTGCTGCTGCTGCATGGGAGAGAACACTTTTGATGTGTACACGTAGCGCATTTCTACCCGCATGCGCTCACCTTTCCTGCTGTCACATGCTTAAATCTCGTCTATGGTACTTCTATTATCCGAATTTCTGAATCGGCATCTAATTTCTTCTACGGTAGATATTTTTTTTTTTTGTGGCGGAGTTTAGAATTCAGCGACAAATCAAGGAGCCCTTATCCTCATTTTTTGTGCGATTTGCGGAAGAATTGCACAACCGTGATCTGATTTTAAGGATATGACGGGAGAAGGGGACATGGACCAAACCTATCTAGGGATAAGTAACTAGATAACGTTAACAAAAAAAGTAAAGTATAATTGAACGAAAGAAAATCTAAAATTAAATCATACAAGCACCTTCGTATGCGATTCTCGATTTTTTTAAACATGCTGTACTGCTTTTGAGAAATCCGAAGAAGTTGGAAAAATACCCAAGCTTCATCTATATCCAAAAACATTCAATTTTTTATGGTTGCCCTTCAAGAAGATCGCGGTGCTAAACGTTGATTCTCTATAGTAGATTAATTATTGATTTGGGTTTAGAAAAAAAATCTATTGCTGTTTGCACAGCAAGATTGCAAACTTGAAATCTAATTGGAATGTGAAGCTGACGAAATCATCAGTGATGCCATTGAAAAATGGCTTTCCGAGTGTGAATTAAGACAGTGCACTAATTTGGTTAATCAACTAAACAACATTTTGAAAATGAAGTACAGTATAATTTTTAGGTGCAGTTAAGTTTAAGGAAGTGTCCTGAATCTTCATTGCTGACAGAAAAAAACCTGCACCAGGCTACTTCCTTACTACCTTAGATTATTTCCGTTATCAGAACTTAATCGAATCCAATTCTATGGAAAACTAAGTAAAGGTTTTTTGATCGCATGAAGTTGGGGAATCGAAATGAAGATTGTAATCACATTCGTTCTTAATTTTTGGGTCCCAGTCATCAGTTTAATTCTCTTCCTCGCTGTGGTAACATGGTGGTTTTTGCTACACAGGGTGACCCACGCCGAAAGAAGTAAGTTTTTCTAAGATTTCACCGCTTTTTTTGTATATCGGAAGTTTATCGGAGATTGAAAGAATGCGCTTCCATTCTAATATACAGGCTAATTTTCTGAATAAAAAGAAATGTGGAGAAATTAAAAAAAGTTCATTCCAGTCTTTTAAAAATTTTCACATTCTTTATTATTGATGGATTCATATCACATGGCGCAGAATTAAAATGTAGAACCTTGGACAACTATTGATTCTAAAAATAAATTTTTCCGACTTCGGCACGTCTTTCTTATAATGATTTAAGTTGTGGAAATTTTCCAAAGACTATTTTCTCGTTGCGATGCCTCAAGGAAAAATAAGTATTTTGCGAAGACCAAATGTACCTTTTCTTCTCTCAGTTATTTGGTTGCACGGTTAGTAAAAAATTGATTACATGTACTATATTTTGATTCTACTCCTCAGACTCCCAATGGCAGAAGAGATTCTCGTTTCGTTACATCACGAATTTCAATTTTGTTTAAATATGTCTAGAAACTGAATCAGAAGCACATGCATTGCAGATTGTGCAAAGGCCATTACTGCCTAATTAGTTAATACTTTTTATTCAATAGGTCACAGACTTCGCTGGGATCAATGGGTTCCATTGAAAGACCTGGGATCGGCTGGCAGAGAAACCAGCAGGTTTGCTGATGGAACCGGCGGAACTTTGGTTGGATCCAGAGAAAGACCGGAATGCAGTTAGTTTTTTCTTTCTTTTATAATTATGTCTTTGCCTTTCTTTTCCGATTTTATATCCGGAGTTACGAGTCTGATTATTAGCTTCCAAAAGTAAATGGAAGTTTTACGTGATGAGTGTAGAAGTGACACGAATGGCCAATGTGTGATGCTTCAATATATAAGGAACGATGCAATTTGATTGCTTTCTTGAAGAAATATTTGTACAGTACAGTATATAGAAATCGAAATTAATGCGAGGCATAATCCTGCGGGTAGATTGTTTTTTTTTTCGCGAGGAAAATATTTGTGGAAGACCTTTCGTACAGTATTTAAATTTCTGCCGCTGCTTGAAGTTGAAGCAACATTTCTGCTGTGGATCTGCGAAAAAAAAAAATAAATAAATAAAATGCAGGCAAGGTCAGGAGAAAATTTAAATGAATTCCTCCTACCAGTTCACCAGAGCCCAAAAATACGAGGCTTCCTCTGATTTTAGACTTATTTATGATTGCATTCCGTTTTTACCTCTTCGAAAACGCGCCTGTACTTAACCAGATATCCGCTTTGAAGTCGGTTCATTCGTAATGACAATTGGGCATTGTTTATTTTTGTGCTGCTTCTTGAGCAATAAAATGGCGCGATTTTCTGTAAAAAAAAGATTAAAGGTCAGGGTAATGGAAGGGCACATTTTTTGGACTTGATTTGCATTCCCAATGCGTTACAGGCTTAATTAAGAATTACGACTTGGACGGGTTCTTTTCCCGGCTCTACTGGTATCATTTCAACCGAGGCTTTTTACCCATGCTGGTTCGCGACGTTCTCGCCTTGCTGCATTACAGCTTTCTAGCATCTGTCGCGTTTGTCATCACGCACTGCGTCGACATCGACGCACTTTCCAAGTACGGATGGATAAAATTTATTTTTATTGAACGTTGTATGAGTTGAATCAGAAAATTCAGGTGCGATTTCAAAGCTGCAAATTTCAATTTTTTTAAATAATTCAGAGGCAATTAAGACCTCATTTGCTAGTTCTGTTCAAGTAATTTTCGGAGGGAATAACATGCACGTTTCATTTCTATTTTTTTTCGAATAAGTTTAAAAAAATGACACGACGTTGGCAGATGCTTACATTTGCGTGTTGATTATTGGTATACAATATTTTATTCTTGCACCACATGCAAATTTATTACAAAATCCGAGTATTCTTTAGGAAAAAATGTGGTGAGTATCATAGGAAGATGCCAATTTTTTTTTATTGAATTTATTCTTGGGTGCTCCTTGTATTTGAGTCATTTGCTGGTAGAACATTTCAGACTGATCAACAAAATGTATATAATTGTTCAAAGGCTACCAAAAATAAAAAAAAATCTGAATGCTTCCTTGCATTAAGTTGAATTCAATCGGTTTTTCATTTAAAAAATGATTTCATGTTCATTCGAGATCAAGATAAGATTTCGAAGTACTGTACTGTACTTTCGTATTCAGAATATATAGTCTCTGTATGGTAAATGAATTGATGGAAAAGAAAAATACGTGTCTTAAACAGGAATATTTTAAAAAGATTTCCTTGAGTAAGACGCGCACCAGAATTTTTTGTACAGTGGTTTCGTGTAACGTTATAGTAAATACGACGATTTCTACAAATTTTTCTTGTTATTTTTTCGGTTTAAAAGTTAGTTTTGCGTTCACAGTTTTGCGAAATTGTGTAGTTTTAAAATATCAACCTGATTGTCCAGCTTTCAGTCCCTCCTGCTCTTATTAAACATATTGAGACACCGTCGAAAAAGTTTTATGGTAGATATTCGGATATATACAGTATATCTTTTTAGAAACTCTTGGAAATACTGTACATTATTTCAAATTTACTTTCCGTATTTTTTTCTTATCAAAAAATTGCAAGTTTCATCGAATACTGTACTTGCTTCTTCTCTCATATTTGACGAATCAGGCATGACTTGATTTTTCGGTCTGCTGTCCCAATGGAAAGAGAGATTCCCAATCAGAATCCGAATGTCTCTGATCCAATCACGGCATCCAACAACAACAACAACATGAACATAAGATCCATTTTCACAGTCGTGTTACCCATTGAAGAATGTGTGGCGATCTCTATAGAAAAGCTCCATCCAGGCCTAGTGGTGGCATTTTGCTACTTGTGCTTCCTGATCTCCAAGTTCTTTTATCATTTCGTCATGTGCTATTGGCTACATGTGTTTTACCGTGATGTTTTGCTGGTTTCCGAGGTAAAAAAAAGTTCCTTTTTTGAATTTAATTATAAAATTTTGTCAAAAAATTCCGCTTCTTCAGCAAGACCTCCAGCTCGTTTCGTGGCAAGAAGTTATGGCACGAGTGAGGACAGCTGTGGCGGAAGGAAGAATGTCCATGGAAAAACATAACTTGAGTGATTTAGATATTTATAACATAATTCTGAGGTTTGAAAGAATTACAACGCGGAATTTTCGGAAAATGTTCGAAGTTCGTGTTCCCTCCGCAGAAGCACGAATTATTTGCTGGCAATGACGAACAGATACGTGATCGCCGCTGTGTTCAAATATCCCATCGTTGGAACATTCTCGTTCATGTCCAGATCGTATTGGCAAACAATGACATTTTTATTATTTGGTGAGTCGCTTCTTTTTTTTCAAATCTTTGGTCCGCAAAAATTTTAAAGCCCTTGAGACATGGTCCATCGCACAGAATACATTTCCAGCCCTTTCTGAGGGATCAATTTTTAGACGTCATAATGTAAAACGTGTGAAAAAATCTTGAACGAGCAAGAAACTGCCGTTTCCACCCAGTTACCAGCATTTTGTTGTTTGAAACATTCTAAAACAAGCAGTAATCACCGATTTTTTGTGCCTTGGAAGTCAAAACTGAATTAAATGTCCGCGAATTCAAAAATACTTATGTATTCTTCACGATATTTTCAGAATCGCAGGGATTGTATTTGAGTGTAAAGTTTTTTTCAGGTATCAACTTGACCTATCGTAGGACACTCCAAAACAATTTAAATGCAGTGTCAACTCTTCAAATAATTGAAATGAAAATAATCGCGCACGGATTCGATGTATAGGATAGTGATTTTAACATACTGTAATTTTAATTCTGAACAATTGAAAGTTAGGTCTTATACAGTATATTCAAAAATATGTAAAGATGCACTTCGATCATCTGTGAATGAAACTTTATTTAATGCATGACCTTACCTAATGCAAATGTGAACTTTTTTTATGACTTCGGCCAGTTTTTGCGAATCAAGTTTGGCTTGGATAGTACTATGGTTATTATCAACCGAGCGTCGAGAATCTTTCGAGTGGTGAATGTTAGCGACATCTGTCTTCAACGAAATAAATCAGCGTCGTTTACGTTGCTTGATAGATGTCCATCTGTAGTGCTCGTATATCGTCTACGCGTGGTGCAATGTGAAGTTTCCCAGCAATACTGTACACAAAACGCAGTAGTAATGTACAGTACATTTATTGTTTGGGTTATTTTCGAAGACTTTCCAGATGCTCCATTCAAAGGAGGAAGAAGACTCAAGCCGCTTTACAAAAATGAGGAAACACGAGACCAAGCAGTAATGAATTTGAGACTGAGAATCCTATTTTTCGCTGTAGCGAACACATTACTGATGCCGTTTGTCGTGTTGTACAGAATCGTCGATGCTGTTTGCGATTCACTTGAGGTGAGTTTTCTCAACTTGATCTTCTTTTTTGGGTTCAATTATTTATACAGCATATCGTAAAATTAATTGAATATTGTTGTCGCTGTTGCTGTCCAGACGATCAAACGGAGTCCTGGCGATTTGGCGTCTCGGTCCTGGTCCACCTATGCCATGGTGTATTGTAGACACTTCAATGAGCTTGAACACGAGCTGTACTACAGAATGAATTCAGCTCATGAACCAGCGGTCTTTTACACAGACTCGATATCGAATTCAATTTGGGCCGAATTTCTGAGGTAACGGTTGGAGGCGTCCATACAACTATTTAATCCAAATCAATGTTTTTCCGGGATAATCAATCCGAACTGTTATAAAAATCTAAATCAATATTTCATTAGGTTCATCAGATTCCTGCTTACAAGTATTCTCGGCATTCTTATTGCTATGATTCTTTACAACGAAACGCTTCTGTCGGTCAGAGGCGTTTTGACGACAATGAGTGTCTGTGGGACTTTGCTGGCGTTCGTGAGGTAATCCTAATTCGTATTCATCATGAAAAAATTGCAATTGTTTTTTTTTTTCGCTGTTGGTAAATTGAAATAGGAGTTGGTTGCCGAATACGAGGGCGATCAAAGCTCCTCACAGGTTCATGAGGGCTTGTGTCAGCTATATCCATTATGTGCCAATTTTCTTTTTGGAACAAGCGCAGACTTTGACGATTCATGAAGAATTTGGCTGCTTGTACGAAACTGGATGGGTGAGTTCTCGGGAAATAAAGAAACCCTTGGGAAATTTTTCAAAATTACGCGAAAATAAAATTTAAACCCTCTGCAATGAGTAAATGATTTCGAAATGGTTTATTTCCTCAAGCATGAAAAGATCGGAAATGTGGACCATAACAAAATTATATTGCTTTAATTCTCAATGTCATATTTGTTTCTAGCTCAAAGAATATTCCTAGTTTGACGAAAAAGTTACGGAAATTCTTACCGAAGCCAGAATATTGAAAATTCAGATTTTGAAAAAACTGATGGAAAACTTACTCTATGAAAATCCGAGGAAGTCATTACGTCGACATAAATCAGCACAAAATAATCACTGCAAGCATTTTTTTCTAGAAATTTGAAGTTGGCTGTACTCTCCTATCGGGACGTTTCAAATGAACTTTTTAGAAATACTTAATTCACAAATAAGTTAGTCCACAGAGTAGATAGCTTGAATAAAATTCCGTTTAAATTTACTGATAGAACTGAAACAGCGATTCATGTTGCATCGACTGCTGCTGCCGAAATAATACTCTCAGAAAACCAAAAGCATAGGAAACCCAAGCATTCCTTCAAACAAGCATAGAATATAAACACTAAAAAAAGGAACGCAAACATATTTACTTACAATAAAAGAAATGCCAAAATTAAGGACGTTTCGGCTTTTATATGTTCTCCAGTTCACTGAAAGGATTTTACTATCAGGTATTTTCCCAGAAATTGTATGATTCAGGGAAACGTTTACTCTGATTATATTTGCTTTACAGCAACACGATAATATTTTATGACAATTACACAATATTGTTCTAGAATTCATACCTTAGCAAAATGAATATTGTGAAGAGAAAACAAACCTTAGCAAAGATTCAAGTGAGAAGTGAACTGCAATTTCTGTTCACACGTTGACGGGTCAAAATCAAGTCTTTCTCATGTTTTTCCCCATCAGCGTAACGAATAAATTTCACAATTTTTACGGTAATTCAAAATTTGGATAGCGAGAAATTAAAATATCTTGCTATAATGATGTGGGAAGCAATGAAAATTCAAAAGTTTGCGTAGACTTCAATAAGTATACAGTATTGTACTCGTATAGACTGTCCTTCCTGACGATATTAGTTCATCAGTTTTAATGATAATATTTCCCTGGCATTATAAAGCATTGCTCTGCTTTTCCTAGCACGAGAAAACAAACGATAGTGATGACGAACGTAGAAAGCGAACTGAAAATTTCGTGTTGAAGTCAAAAAGTCAAAACTTTACAACAGTTTGATGTGTTTCATATGTTTCCCAGTGAAACAGAAAAAACTTCACATTGATCAAACATCAATTTTACAAAATTTACACGCATAAGAAAACGAAGCGTACTTACAGTGACGAAGGCGGAGACACGCAGTGAGAACGGAAATTTTCTCGTCAACGTCTCGGAAAGTCGAAATTCAGCGCGTTTTGATGGTCCCAAATTTCGTCCTTTCCAAATTAAGCAAAAGCTTTCACAGCAATTATCAACTCATTGTCTCGAAATCCGGAGCATGTTGAAACAAAGCATATATAGCGAAACTATGAAAGAGCATACAACTATACTACTGTACTGTCTTATGAATTCCTCGTTCCACGATACATAGTCAACCATATGGAAGCGTCTGGCGTCAGCAATTCTGCTTCCATTGTTCCTGTTGTTTGAAGTTCTGCCCAACGCGGAAGACATTGTTGCCTTCCTGGCTGATAACACTGTGAGCCTCGAAGGCATTGGAGACGTTTGCAGCTTCGCCTTGTTCGACCTGGAACGACACGGCAGCGACTTCTGGAAAGTGCCTGAATGCAAAGAAGTTGAGGAGAATAAAATCGACGACGACAACCCAGAGCAACGGGATGATGACAAACGCTTTAGTTCCACTCCAGACCGCTCCTCTTTTTTCTGGCAGCAAAAGAAGGTAATTTTTATTGCGATTGTACGTAAGTACGATTATTTGCCAGAGTGTCACGTGCACCCTCTGGCACCCTTACCCTGGATGACCAAACCTCACCTATATATAATCTAACCTGAAACAAGCAATAAAAACAAATCGGAAACGGTGACTCGTTGTTTTGAGGGAGCGACACCTGTGTTTTGAAATGCAATTCTCTATAAACGAGTTCGCTTTGTACTTAGTGGGACTCCGGAGGACGCGTGGAGATGTCGCTCCTACGATTCACTGCTTCAAATCCGCAATGGAAACCAGAACCGAGCCACGTGGAATATTTGACGGGCCTCGAAATGGCATTACGGGAAGGTGTTTTCTGCTTTCGCCGTAAAAAACCATATGTTCATTCGGTGAGAATTACCTTCACGAGTAGCACGACCAAGTTTTATTGCTTATTGAATGTATCCGCGATTCGATTTGGAATATCTTGGAAGAGGCACAGTTGGATTTTATTGTAAATTGTACTCGCACAACGGATGAAGAAACAGATGCATGTAACTGCTTTCGAAAACGACACGGAAGGCTGAACTGGATCAGGAACATCTTTGTACAAAAACTACTTTTGAAAAATAAAGTTCTCCTGAGGGGACTTTGTAAAAAAAAGTATGTCTTGAATCTTAATACGGGGTAGCAAAAAAAGTCGCATCCACACCACCGAAAAATTAATCAAGCGTGAAAATACTTTCTGAAACAAAATAAAGAAAAAATCGCAGAAGTATTTTTGAAGTTGTTTTTACCATTCTGTTTTGTGAAGTCAAATAATTCATTCTTATCATCATGGAATTTGTCCACGAAACTTGAACTATTCAAATTTAAAATTTTGCGAAAAGGAATGGAATGAAAATTTTCGGAACCTTGTTTCTACGTAAATTAACAAGTTCACGAAGGATTGCTGTTCAAGAACCGTTTTTCCTTCTTCTAGTCCAGCCAGCACGTTCTGATACCGGAATTAAATTATAAGTACATTATGGAGATGCATAGTTTTGGGTTTCAATCGCGACAAGGGAAAGGAATTCGTTCCATTAAAAACATATTTGTGTATATTATTCTCCTCAGCTGGATATTGAACCCTGCCCAACAGCAGCAAAAGATGACGATGTCGTTCCGGCAATTGAAGCTGATCTCAAAAATAAACCATACACTTCCGATGCCCGAAATTCCGCCAGGAAAACGGATTCACCTACGAAGAAATCGATCCACTCGAGCAAAAAAGCCAAGAAACGCAAGAACAAGCAAAGGAAACGCTTGGTATTTCACATCGACAATATCGGCGAAGCCATCCTGTTCTTGTACGATTTGTACAAATTCAACGTGAGCTATACTTTGCTGTGGTTTCAACCAAAGATAATTCAACACTGGAATAGATTTGGGTTGATCTTTTCAAATTTCCAACAGTTCAAAAAGGCAATTCTCGGGGACGACGCTTCCGAGGATGAACCTTTCATCGACGCTGATATCGGACAATATTTGTTGAATCCTTCCAGAAAATACACTTCTCAACGACGACGAGTACCTCTAACGGAAATGGTAGAATTTGGCAACTGAAGATTCATTCCAGCCTTTTCATTATTCTGAAAATTGGTTGTAACTAATGTTCCGTCTCCATTTTATGATGCTTTTCGTCTTTTTTTCTTCCATTCGAACTACTGCTGAAATATTTCATATTGACATGCCTCGAAGTCTGAATATTTGAAATGATCCGAAATTTCGTCTTTTCATCGCAACATCTCCATGAATCATGATCTTCATTAAAAAAAAACACACATACGTACGGCACACACGAGAAATACGCATCAGAAATAATGAGCTCACAATAATTTTATTCTTAATTAAATGATTAATGTACAAGTTTTATTTTACGTTTGTTAGCATTCATATGGTTCAAACAAGTTCCCCCCCCCCACACACATATCCATTCAAAAGAAAATGCATCACAATACATACAAATGTATAAATAATGAAATTCCATCAAAAATGTTTTTTCAACAAAAATCACAGCACAAGGCAATTAATGAGCACACATTAAAGCACAAGGTCTTCAGCCTGTTCCTGTAAATAATTGTTAATTGATAGACCAATGTAGGAAGAATATTTGAGAGGAAAGCATATCAAGTTTACACTTTTTCCTGGTACACTCCAAGATGTGGGAGATAACTTTTTCAATAAGTTGTGAGATTTTGAAAAGTTCATTTCTGATTGCTTCGAATGCTGGGCATAAGAGAAAATAATGTACTCGGGTTAATCTTCAGATTTGTTGCTGTTTAAGTTTCATGGGGTTCAGCTCAGGAAAATATGCTCGATTTTCAATTTTCAAAACCAAGGAGCATGCGTTGAAATGCGTCGATTATATTACTTCTATTTTCGGAATAGTTATCATCGAAGTTCACCTTTTTTGTTGTAATCGTCTGAATGCGTATAGTAATAATAAAGCACCCATTGTTCTTTAGTGTGTGGCATACGTATAAGTGCTTCTGGATTATGTGAGAGAAATGCGTGAAGCCGCAAAAGAGGCCGAGAAAAAATTGCCTAATGTGAGCCATGTGACCAGAGATCCATATTTCAGTGGAAGCTCTCGCTTTTTCGAGACCCCTATATTGACATGTAACCTAGTACAGTACATGAAAGTTAATAAACCTCCCATGACCAAACCTATTCAATAAGTGCCTCGAGGGTCACGCTTTAAAAGGTACACACCTCTTTCTTGAGATCAATTTCGCAGGAAACCCGCTTTGAGGGGGTATTTGAGAGGTACGAGGCTTCACTCTTCCATCATTCGTCGGTTTTTCCCCGATAAATTCCTCCAGCTTTTTTGAAGGGCCTTTCAAGTGCAGAGAAAATATTTCGGAAGGAAATTAATTTTGAGATTGACTCGGAGCCTTGAGATGACGAAGAATTCAGTCAGAAAAGCGCCTCCATTTTCTTGGTGAAATTGGACTGTTTTTTACAGAGAGCTTGGCATGAAATACGTATAGTACCCATGCTTTCCCGAAAATCAGGACCTTCTTTTCATCGAGTAAACCCTAGCACAATCTTGAGAAAATTCGCTTGTAATTTTTAATGCCCTACTATGTCAACAAGATAAAAGGAAAAATATTCCGAATTCTTTGAATCGTAGATAAAAATTCGACATCAGCTAATAAATGAGACATTTCTTTCAAGAATTGGAGACGGAAACAATTCCAAGTTTTTCTTTTTCGAAATCAACCACCATTTTCCAAGTTAATCGTCATGAAATTCAGTGGCAGAAAATTCAGGGACGCATAACGAATATAGGTACTGTACTGTATGTATAATGTCTTCAACTTTTTTTTTCAAATATTCGAACCGTTTATAAATCTTTCAGTACCTGCTGTTCCGTAGTTTGGTGCTTCTCATGTTGATCACGATTTCAGACAAAGTTTCGTCAGGAATTGAAGAGAATCCTACGGAAAGAGGCGGCTAAATAAAGTATGAAATCATGACTGCTCTATTTTTTTCCATGACTTGGATATTGGCCCAACGAAGGAGCTTTAATGACGCGAAAATGCCAGATATTTGCACATGATTTAAAACCCAAACCCGGATTTTGATAAAAATTTACAAAGTTGATGCAAGAATGGGTGATTTAAAAAAAAGAGGAGATGAGAAGGGTATTTTTAGTCGATTTTTTGTTCTGAAAGACAGAGCTTATCATTTAGCTTTCCTTCTTCAAAAAGTTGACCCACTGTTTTGAAGCAACCGTCGTCGCCGGTCTTGATCAAACACATCTTCGACGCTTCGTATTTTTACGTTTCTAAACTGAGAACATGTTTTCACAGAAATTCGTTGTAAAGCTTGCAGTCGCATTTCCGTGGATAAATCTTGATAAAACACATCTTCGACACTTTGTATTTTTACGCTTCTAAACTAAGAATATATTTTCACAGAAATTCGTTGTAAACCTTGCAGTCGCATTTCCGTGGATAAATCTTGATAAAACACATCTTCGAAACCTTGTATTTTTACGCTTCTAAGATGAGAATATATTTTCACAAAAATTCGTTGTAAAGATCGCAGTCGCATTTCCGTGGATATTTTACGAAATTTGCTGCCAAATGTACTGGACTTTTTTTTTCGAGGCTTCTTATTTCTCTCTCTCTCTCTCTCTCTCTCTCTCTCTTTCTCTATATATCTCTCTCTCTATCTCTGCTCGAATGAATAAGAGACAGGACAGAACGGTGAAGAAGAAGCATCTTCGTTGTCACGCTCGAAAGTCGTTGAACCGTTCAGCAGAAAGTGCAGTGATTTGTCACCCGTCAGCTCGAATTTCTCCCCTGTTTGCAAGTTCTCCACTTTTAGACAAAGAGCAAGCCAGTCAACACATCGCTTCGTTAACCCCCGCAGCGGTGTTTATTTTCTCACACGTGAACCAGTCAGTGGTATACCGAGGGTTCATCGTAAAAACAAATATTTAAAAAAATGAGACGAACACATTTTCCCGTCTCGAAATTTCGCAATTTCTCACGCCGCGTTTTCAACAGTCTGCTTTTTCATTCTTGGAATTCGTATTTAATGGACAATGAAGGTATCACGTGCAAAAAAATCATGGGATATATTTGAGATTGTTTCTGTATTAGTACAGTAGTTGAGGAATTGAAAATCTCATTATAATCGATGACAATAAATTGAATGCATGCTATTGATAGAAAATGATGAAAACTGCGGTGAAGAATTTCAATTGCCGTTCCATTTATTTCCCCAACTTCTAAAAACCAAAACTTGAGAGAGAAATCATGAACTAGCTCAACATATTTGATCCGTCATGAAAAATTGTACATTTAGCGCAATAATGTTATCATTTTAGTTGTGAAGCGAGAATTCGAATACTGTACCTCTTTGAGAGAAAACCATTTTTAGATCAATCAGCAGCCATCAACATTTTGTCGTCGATTCATCTTGAATTCCACCATATCAGTAAAATTCGGCAGTTATTCCGTCAACATGATGATCATGAAAAATGATGCCAGCTTTCAAGTCCGAGGAAACATCATGTTTTAGAATTATATAGGAAACATTCTGCCATACGGGATTACAAAGTTATTTTTTTAAGGAATGATTCAACTTTTCCATTTTAATATAATTTCAAACTTTCCCATTGCAATATAATAATAATCTGGCACGGGAAGTGAAGCACGGTTATTATGCGTTTTTCACTGGCTGAAAAAACCTTGAAATTTGTGGTCAGCTCTTCCTGGTTCTTTAAGTTTTGGCAGCAGCTCACAGAGAAGTTGAATCTATGTTCCTCGAATAAATTTATTTCTGTACGCATAACTGCTCGTCTTTTTTATTTTATACCGTGAGTGAAACGCGCAGGTGTTAATATCTAGATTTACCAGAACGTTTAGACACTGGCAAACTTCCAGGGCTAAGGAATAAATTTCTCTGAGAACCTACAGCGCAGTCATTTGTGCTTTTCCTGCATTCATTTTCGTTATTGGAATTTTTGTTGATTTATAGGAAATTCTAATTATTCTTGTTGTTGAAGTTTGTGCGTTGAAAGGACCTTCCGAAATTTTTTGAAAAAGGTATTGCATGAACTCATGAAGCTCGTGTCGTGCCAAAAAATCATGTATTACGATGAATTTTATTTTTAGAATGCATTATGTATTTTATAGATTTCTCATTGTTGACCAGAAGCCGACATCGGAGACTAATCGTGGAATTTTGTAACATTTTATCTCATTTTTAGCATATCCGTCACACAAGTGAGAAAGTATTTCGGAAAAATCCTTTTATTGTGCCAGAGAAGCAATTTTGCATGTTCCTGGGGGTTTATTTTCAACACACATTGTAATTAACAATTCCATTGTGATCATCAATATGCGAAGATTTGTTGTGCGTTTGAAATTTTTGAAGAATCCATCCCGTGGTTTTCAGTCCAAATTTAAACTGTTGAACGATTCTCAGGTGTCAAATAGGAACATTTTACTGGAAAGAATGATGTTCACATAAAGTCAACATGTAACAATAAAAACTTCGAAATTTCCCTCAAATTATCCATCGCAGATGAGTTCAGGAAGGCACCTTTGTTCGATTTTCTTGTTCCTCGCGATTGTTTCCGAAATATTTTGTAAATAACTAGTCCATTCTTATATCGTTAGTAGGTTAAGTGTGATTTAAAATTCAAAATCATACAGTAAATCAATCCCAACATTTTTCTTTGCACCATTCCACGCTTTTCATGCCAGCTTTCACTTCTTAAATGATTATCAGGTGTCTCTGGAAAATTTCTTGATTGATACACAAGCTTCATTTACCAATTGTCAGCATTCACAAGGTTTAAAAAAAATTTCCCAGATCCATGCATGCATTTATTTGACACATTCTGGCTTACACATAGAATAATTCACCCTGTTATAGGTATCAAAGAAAAAATGCATCACAGCAGATGCAAGTGCATGAATAATGAATTGCCATCAATTTTCCAAGATTACCAAAAATCACAACACAAGACACTTATACAGACTGGGACCAGATAATTTTTGACTGATCAAACCAGTGTTCGCCAACCCTTTATCTGCTGACTGGCGCAGGTCTGCAAAAACTTTTTGCCAGTCTGTGAGAAATGTTCTTCACCGCAAAAAAATAATCGAAAGTAGCAATAAAGTCTGCTATTCTGCTGATCTGACATTTTTGAAAGCTCGTTGCGGACGAAATTATC